TATACATTAGGTAATGAGTACATGTCTTTTTGAACAGTGCCAACCCCTCACATTCTCTTCCAGATTTTCCCCTCTGGCTTCCCTTCCCCCACCCCCAGTTGTATAGTTCATTTACAGCATAGTGTCTAGTTAATATCACTGATAAATTGGTTCACCCTTTTTCCCACCATGTCTGTGCTTTCTTCCCCTTCCTCAATCAGATAAACTTTTATACAAAAGGTACAACAATCAAAAACAGCAACAAAAGGGAATAAAACAAAGAGAAGGAAGGAAGGAGGGAAGGAAGAAAGGAGGGAGGGAGGGAAGGAAGGAAGGAAGGAAGAAAAGAAGGAAGGAAATGAAGGAGGGAAGGAAGGAAAGGAGGAAAGGAAGGAGGGAAGGAAGGAAGGAAGGAAGGAAGAAAAGAAGGAAGGAAATGAAGGAGGGAAGGAAAGAAAGGAAAGGAAGGAGGGAGGGAAGGAAGGAAGGAAGGAAGGAAGGAAGGAAGGAAGGACGGAAGGAAGGAAGGAAAGGGAAACAGTATAATCAAAAACTTCTTGTTTCCGTTTCTTGGGGTTCATTTCAATAAATATCCTTTATATGGTCATATGCACATAACTATTTATTTTTATTTGCTATAACCTTAGTTTTCTATTATAGAAATGGAACATAGTAAGTATGATCATAGAGTTTTGTGGTTAAGTTTCACTAAGATATGCTGCCTTTATTGTAGAACATGTTTATGTTAGCCTTTGAATATTAGTCTGTAATAGGCCTGTCTTTTCCTTGTATGACTCAATTAAGGTCAAGTTGTATACTAAACCAAAAGATTTTAACTGGAGAAGAAAATTTAAAATAAGTCAAAAATCTCTTTCAGAAAACTTTTGGAAGCCTTTCATAATAGTAGCCCTTTTCTCTGATTTTCCCCCTTTCGGTTTATGTGTGCTGCCTCTCCCTCCCCTATTTCCTTCTGGGAATTACCTTATTAGTAACATTCAGGAGATTGCCTACTCCTTCCAAACTATGCTTGTACAAAACTTCCTGGAGTTGTCATGCTTGTGAAAGTACACTAGGTGGCAGGAGAGTATCACAGATCGGCGTTTCAGATGTCTTACTAAGAGAATGCTTCTGTTCCCTTCAGAAGTGATTCTCTAGAACTGAATTATAATACTTTTCCAATCACCTCATGAACTTCCCAATGGCTGTGGTGGTAAATGTTTTCATAATACATTTTTTTGTTAAAAAACCTGCTGTCTTTGGGTTGGGAAGGTGGCTCAGTGGTAGAGCGCTTGCCTTGCATGCGTGAGGCCCTGGGTTTGATTCCTCAGCACACATAAGCAAAAAGAAAAAAAGCCGGAAGTGGTGCTGTGGCTCAAGTGGTAGAGTGCTAGCCTTGAGCTGAAGAGCTGAGGGACAGTGCCCAGGCCCAGAGTTCAGGCCCCACAGCCGGACCAAAAAAAAAAAAAAAGATTCAAAAAAACCTGCTGTTCTTTAAACTTAATACTTGAATCTATTTCATTTTACAAAATTACAGACTGGTGGATGGACAAATTTCTTAGGCAGTTTATCTCATATTCATCTTAATATGTTTATATATTACAATATTTTTCCAAAGATTTTGCAGAAATTAAAAAAAAAATCTGACATAAAAATAACATCAAAAACTGCTAAAATTAGAATTCAGCTCTGACTCAAAACCTTAACCATATCTTAAAACCTTGCTTATTAAGTCTTCTAAAGAATTGTCAAGTTCTGTTTCCTCCCTGTTTAGAGAGGACTTATGATTAACTTACAGTGACCTGGGGACAGTTTCACTAAATATGTGTTTCTTAATGTAGGAGCTGAAACTGCTTTGATTGGTGGCTTGAAACTTCTAGGTAGACTGTCACTTCTCACAGAACAAGACTTATGGACTCTAAATGGACTTCCCAATGAAAATAACTCCTCAGATCATCTGCCTTTATTGGCTAAGTTCAGGCTTGAGCTCTGATTCTGCTTTATCATTTTCTTTTAAATTTAGTTTTCAAAGAATGAAAAGCTCTTAAGTGTTTGCATGTTTATTTTTGTGCTATGGGTTTTCTGAAGAAGTTGTGTTAAATGCTTGAAACATATCAGAAGAAACAAGTTTACAGTATTTTTTTCAATAATGAAAAAATATTTTTACTAATAGTTGAAATCTAAATACTCTTTATTATCAAAGAGATTAAGTATTTTTATTCTGAATCCTAGTAATGTTGACAACAGCATTTCAATGTGGTGAATCTTCTTTAGCCCTCTGGGTAAAGAAGTTTACTTCATGTTTTTGGGAAGCTTTATAAAGGATCCAAAGTACCTGAGTTTTTGCAAGCCACAGTAGGTTCCTTTTCAGAAGGCCTGATTTCATTGGGAGAACCCTATGTTTAGAGTTCTCATTCATTCATCTCAGAAATTAGGTCATCCATAGGTATCCATCTTTAAGTTTTGAAGGGCTTGATAATGCTTTTTTTTTTTTTGTTTAAAAAAACTGTTTAATCCATCTTTTTACTGTCCTGAGCCTTATGTGTCTAGAATTTGTTGGTAAGAAAACAAGGTCCTGCTGGGCGCTAGTGGCTCACGCCTGTAATCCTAGCTACTCAAGAGGCTGAGATCTGAGGATCACGGTTCAAAGTCAGCCTGGGCAGGACTGTCCGTGAGACTCTTATCTCCAGTTAACCACCAGAAAACCAGAAGTGGTGCTATGGCTCAAGTGGTAGAGCACTAGCCTTGAGCTGAAGAGCTCAGGGATAGTGCCCAGGCCCAGAGTTCAAGACAAGAAAAAAGAAAACAAAGTCCTTCATGTAAGTCCATTCTTTCCACCCTATAGCAGACAGCAGCAGCCAAGAACAGCAGACACTTGGGTTATACCTTGCCCTGGCAGGCTTTTCTTCTGTTTTTATTTTTTGTTTTGTTTTTTTCCATTCGGTTGCAAAAAAAGATCCCTGGGTTGGGGAAGGCTTTATTTTACTGAACCATTTCAGCAGAAATTTATTAGGAAATTGTCTTTGAACAAAGTGGCAGCTCTCAGATTATTTTTTGTTATTCCTCAGAAGTTTAACAAAGTAGTAAAACTAGTGAAAGATACCAGCATAAGGTCTTGAAACTCTTAGGTTGTTGTGTTCTCTGTTGGTTTAAATGATTTGTTTCTCAGTGTTTTCTTATGATATACTCACATGAGAAGGTGCTTAACACTTTTTTATGAAGTGTTAGAAGCAGATCTCATAAATCTGGTAGTTGACTCTATACAAGTAGTCACAAAAAAACAAGCACAAAATGTGGAAATTTCCTCTGCTCTTAAGATAGTAGGATCAGGAATTATAGGCATTTTTACTAAGTAGTCATTTTGCACTAAATTATAAATGTTTTTACAGTATCTTTTATTAATAGAATGTTTTTTCTTAAACTAGAAAACAGTAGTCTTCAACTTTAAAAAGTTTTGTACTTAGGGTTGGAATTGTGACTGAGGTGGTAGAGTTCTAGCCAATGAGCGCAAGTGTCAGATAACGAGTTCAAGTCCTGCTCTTAGAAGAAAAGAAAAAACTTTTGTACTGAATCATTTACTATAATTATTTTTAAATAAAAGAGAAGCCTCAGAAGAGGCAAGTGGGTTATGAAGATGTCTAGTAAAAATAGTTCTAAGTGAATATGTTTAAATGTTTCTCCCTTTTAATTTTGTTTACAGTATTAACTAGTTCCAAGATTGTCCACATTTTTCAGTTTGTGGAATATTACATATCTTGAGTAACAGCTATAGTCATCATCAAATTACAATGATAGTCCAATTAGCCCTTTGTAGTATTAGGGAAAGAAAAATGATTCATTGATTAACAACTATTCTATATTGAGTGAATTTTTTAATAAATGGCTTTATTATAAAGATCATTGTTAGTAAACTAGCATCCTTGGAAACCTGTATAAGCTTAATTTTTTTGTATTCTGATTAATGTATTGTGAATTTAAGCCCATTTCATGTGTTTCACTATGATAGAGTTGATCTGTAAAACTGCTTTCTATGTTAGCTTATCAAATGAAGCATTATTTAGTGGACCAGAAGCCAATGGGTAAAAGTAATTTTCTCTACTAAAAAAGCTCCACACAAACAAAAATAATAACAATACTAACATACTTCTGTTTTCTTTTTTGACCTGTAGACTCAATAACTCTACTGGAGAGTTGTATTTACCTGACAAAAACAAAATCTGGTTAACAGCCACAGAAAACAAATCTCTCTTAAGTGTTACACTATACAAGTTTTAAATGCAAAGAACTGTGAAGTAATAAAATTCTGGCCTTACTATACTTTTTCATAAAAATATAATATGCAAATTTGAAATTTGTCCTTTTTTGGAATTTAACAACTGTCTGCTTTTCATCTTTTTATGGATGAAAAGAAAAAGGGGGGCTGGGAAGGTGGCTCAGTGGTAGAGCGCTTGCCTTGCATGCTCGAGGCCCTGGGTTCGATTTCTCAGCACCACATAAGCAAAAAGAAAAAAGCCGGAAGTGGCGCTGTGGCTCAAGTGGTAGAGCGCTAGCCTTGAGCTGAAGAGCTGAGGGACAGCGCCCAGGCCCAGAGTTCAGGCCCCACGACCAGACCCAAAAAAGAAAAAGGACGGGAGGGGGAAAGGACAGGGAGAAAAGGAAAAGAGTTTAAATGGTTGAGGAAACAGGCATCAGATCATTTGCACTTTGTACCTGTAAATTTTGTAATAAACTATTATACATCTGTGCATGAAGTTTTCTGCTAAATGTTTAAGGTGTTTAAGCTGACCTGTTTCATGTTCTTAAACTGTTTTATATCATCTTATAGCCTTTATTACTTAGGGCAAAGCTCAAACATAATGAACTGAGATGTACTAAAATGAAGTAATATTTATATAGTCTGAAAATTATGAAAGAAGTAAGGTGAGAGAAGGATAAATTTGCTCACTTAGGTCCAGTGTGTAGTAAGAGCACAAGAAAAAAATAATAAACCAGACAATTTTTTGGTTTTAGAAGAAACACAACCCTTTAAGTTTCCAGATGGTTTTATTAAAGTTCCATGCTGTATTATAAACATACAAGTGATGAGAAAACAGTAACTAGAAACATGCACTTATCTGGCATTCTCTAAAATACCATTATACAAGTTTTCATTGACTTAGAAAAATACCCACTAAAACAATCACAGTTATTCTGAAAGATTTAAAAAAAAATGTATTGGCCAGAACAAAGTTCAAGAGAATAAACAAGATTCTGAATTGTATGTCAAAAAAACTGTACAAGATTGTACATAAAACTATAGTTTACAAAAGCCTTAGGTATAGTAAGAATACTGAATTAAGATTTCCAAAGTTCTGTTATCAATATCTATTAATAAAATCCTTATGAAATAATTGACTTAGAAAAAGTGAGATGTTCATGATTTCCGTGAGTATAGAAAATAGTAAATATCACTAAATACCACTTTCTGAAATAAAGTGTACTCAAAACAGCACAATGTATAGTCTCAAATCTTCTGTCATTCATTTAAACTTTGCTTGTATTGCCATGACAATCTTACACATAAACTTTCTCTTGGACTTTTTTAACAATTAGATTCTGAATTATTTCATGGTTTTATTATAATTTGAGTTCTTAAAATTAGTTGTAAATGGTATAATGTTGGGTTTATTTTTCCATGTTACTGTTTTAATTACTTCATTAGAATTTAGAAGTTTAGGAATTTTCCTATGTCTTCTAGAAATTAGCGTGTCCTATAAGCAACAAAACAGTGTCGAGCATGAACAGTTTTTAAGTGTTTTGGTGATTTAATTGTTGCTTTGGAAAATGAATCTAAACACCACAAAGTAAGTGTGGAAGAAATTAAGTCACTAGTTAAGTCATCAAGCCAGCTGGCAGTTTTTAAATTATACATTAAGACTATTAGGAACAGTTTCATACTGCTTGTCTCTTTTCTTGTGTTAGAAGTTAGAGGCTATGCAACCATCTGTTTTAGATGGGATCATCACTCCTTAAGTAATACTTGGTCATAGGATAGTTGTGGCATTTTATTTATTGTATTTACTGGATATTGTAAGTTTCAAATGAATAAACAAGATAAATGGCTGAGTCAGTATTGTTTCAGAATAAGGATGAAATGATTCACTAGCTACTGAACAACTAAATGCATTGGCCATGAGGCTGCAGATATGTTTACCATGCAAAGATGTACAAAGATAACATTATTTTTAGAAATGATGGGATACTGGACACGAAACTCAGGACCTTGAACATGATACGAATGCATCCTACTATGAGCTATACCCCATGCCCTCCTAACCCACTTTAAACTCTAATAATGCTTCAAGGAAGTGATTTAAGTTCAGAATTTTAAATTTATGCTGCATTTTAGTTTGTGACAAGGACTGTAATGCACTAAAGGACATAGTATTTCCTTCAAGAAAATAAGTGCTTTTACTAACACAACTGATTTTTAGATTAGAGCCAGCTCTGGTGCACATAGCTAACTGACAGATTAAGTCCTTTTACTTTCCTTGTCACTCCAAAAGTTTTCTTTTTTAACCACCTTCCTGTAACCACTTTTAGTAAAGCCAGAGGCAAAGCACTTTTGTGGACCAGCAGACTTTCCTTAAGTATGTCCTTTGGTCTTGTGATTTGACATGGTTGAAAAGATAAAACAAATGAAACAGAATAGAAGCTCTCCTCTTGATACTTATATAACATACAGTTTACTTTAGTTACCCTGTGAGATCTGCAACCAGGAGTTACACTGTAACTTCACAGATCACACCATAAAGTGTAATACTGTACTGGAAGACTTTTCCATTTAAAAAAAAAAAAGTTTCTACTTTTTATAATTCATTCTATTTTCCAATACTTCTTAAATTCCATGAAATGTACCTAAAAGCAAGGTACTAGAAAATCATCACACCCTACATCCTTTCACCTTTGGGCTTAATATAAGATGTCAGAACACATCTTTATCAGTGAGTCCTTCAGAATCAAAGCTTGATTCTGTTTAAAATCAGTTAAAATGTGAACAGAAAAGTTATCTACTTCTTACAACTTGTTGCCTTGTTCCTGGTGTCTGCCTCTCTGACTGACTGACAGATAATATCCTGCTAACTAAGAAGGGCATGGCCTCCTGTGCTTTTAGCTAGCTAAGACTCCACCAAAGTTTAAACGTAATGACAGAATGTAGACTAATGTCTGAAGTGCTTGTTTTGTTTTGAACGAACAAAAAAACTGCTGTCAGTGAATACTGTAAAAAAGACTATAAGATCCTAAAAATGGGTCCCGTATTGCCAAAAGAATTTCAGTGCTTTTTAGTAAAACACTTGCATATAATACCTAACTCTCATCACGTGCATCAGGAAAAAAAACTCCCAAGCAATGGAGATTCCCCATGGGAAATACTGGGGAAACAATACAAATAGAATATAAAAAACCAAAATGCCATTAAATTTGCATATCTGATGTAAAAAAATGCTGAGGTAATATTATTAACTGCTTTAAAAAAAAAAAAACCACCCATCTTTGCTTCCATTATTGCTGAAAAAGAAGGTAATACTGACTGAGTTACCTTACTATACCAAAAAAGGGAGAGAAGTTTATGAACATTGACTACTGGTGAAGCATAATATCCAGAGCAAGTAAAAGTAGGCAAATGGGAAAATAAAAAACTAAAAAGTTAATGCTTATTATCCTTGAGATCTGGAGTGAAGGAAACAGTGCAGCCCCGTGGGGCTGATGACTTTAGCCTTATCGTGGTCACCTCTTCAGGAGTTTGTTTTGTTTAAAGCTAATCGTGTCCCCATTCACTCAGATTCTGTTTCTAGGTGAATCCTTAAAAATAAAATCCCCAAGCTCTTAATAAATAATTGCAGTTCCTCCTGAAGATGCTGGGTAAAGTGCAGAAAAAAGCACCACAGAAACTCTTGCTGGCCAGTATGGCTTGGCTACTAGATTCGGATTTGATAGCCCACTTCATTCAGAGTACTGAGGTCAGCCATCTTCTTTTCAGGCAGAGCAGGCCTAAGGATGAAAGACATGAAGAGGATGGGGCAGAAAGGTAATGAGCTTTTAAAAACCTAGGTCTTCTACTCAGTTCTGCTAACTTGTCTCATTCCCTGTGCTCAACACATACACACTCATACTGCCACTGCCACACTTGCTTCCCAACCCTATTTGTTCTCCAAGTCTGCTTTTATAGGTTTTCAGGGACATGCAAACAGATTAAAACACTTTCAGTGTTCAGTCTTAAGCTTGAACTGAGTGGCACTAAAACATTTTTAAATCCAATATCTTGCAAGAGTCTAATAATCATTTACTCCAGAACTCAGTGAAAATTCCCCCAGCAACACTACCTTCCCAGGGAAGCCCGGAGTTACAAAATGACTCGTGACTGAGGTTCTGGGAGAGGTCCTCAGCTACCCTTGGTGGAGGGTTACTATTCAAGTTTAAATCTATTAATTCAAGACGACTCTCTTAGAATTTTAAGTGAAAAAGGATGTCAGTATATAAACCCCATCGGTGGCAAAGCACCTCCTTAAATACTTTCTAAAATATTTCCCAACAGAAAACTACTCCTGGGCTGGGAGGTGGCTCAGTGGTAGAGCGCTTGCCTTGCATGCCTGTGCCCCTGGGTTCCATTCCTCAGCACCACATAAGCAAAAAGAAAAAAGCCAGAAGTGGCGCTGTGGCTCGAGTGGTAGAGTGCTAGCCTTGGGCTGAAGACCTGAGGGACAGCACCCAGGCCCAGAGTTCAGGCCCCACGACCGGACCCTCCCCCCCCCCAAAAAAAAGAAAAGAAAACTAAGCATTTATGTTGAAATCATGTAGAAGTACTTGAAAAGTAAGCCAGGTACCCGTGATTCATGCCTGTAACCCTAGCTGCTCAGGAGGCTGAGATCTGAGGATCGTGGTTTAAAGCCAGCTGAAGGCAGAAAAGTTCTTAAGACTGATCTCAAATTAAGCACCAAAAGAAAAAAGCCAGAAATGAAACTGGCTCAAGCGCTAGATGAGCAAAAAAGCTCAGAAATAGTGCCCCGGCCCTGAGGTCAAGCCCTAGAATCAGCAAAAAAAAAAAAAGTACTTTTAAAAGTATTGCAAAGATTTCTTATTAATACATCATCTGTTTCCACTAAAGTCAATTTCTAAATTACTTTACAATATAGCCCTGTGCCTATGGATTTTCATAGTTAAACTTGTTTTCCATTTACCAGTGAACGGTTCACTCTTACCAGCTTAGATAAAAGATAACCAAGACTATACTAAGTTTAGGACATTCAATGTATAGTGAGTTCTAATCCAGAAGTTTCAGATCTAGACAGTTTTGCATGAAAATAATAGCATTTTTTAGTTATTTGTGAACCTTCTTATGTGCTTAAAAATGAAAATATACTTGTAAAGATTGGGGTTTTTTGTGGGAAGGGTGATAGGTAGGACTGGGGTTTGAACTCAGACCTATACTTGTTAGGAGGTATTCTGCTGATCCAAACCTCCAGCCCCTTTTTTGTACTGCTGATTTTTCAGATGAGGTCTCACTTCTTGCCTAAACACATACCTGGATTATGATGTGCCTGTTTTAGGCTTGCCACCATAGCTAGGAAGATAAAGACTACATCCCTTCCGGTCTCACTGGATTTTCTATCTAAGCTGGCCTTGAATCACAATCCTGGTCTCAGCTTCCCAAGTGGCTAGTATTACAGACTTGAGCCACTAGCATCCAGCTGTAAGTTGCTTAATTTGTATCTTTGAAAGAGCTTCTGACTGCCAGTGCTTTCTCTTTGGCATGAAAATAGTCCCATCTCACTCAGATAGAAATGAACAGCTCACTTCTCAGCTCAGCTCAGCTCAGCTCAGTGAATGGCAGGTCCCAAGCCAACAGATTCCGCTTCTCTGTCTGTCACTCGCTCTCTGAGATGGAATCCTCATGATCCAGTCCATGTTCATTCTCTCTGAAGTGGTCAAGCAGCCTTCCCCAATGTACTATTTGGCCCTCTAAAACAACTAGCCATCTTAATTGTCACTGTTTTACATAGGGCTTATTAACCTGACCATGGACTTATTTCTATGAGTTTTTCCTCATGATCCCTGGGGCAAACCCTCAATGCTGAAAATATAGCTAATCGCAGGTAGATATCTCACATGTGTAAGATCTCATGCTTAAACCTTCCCATCTTGAGGTCCAATCATTCTTTGGAGATTCCCTGCTCCCTTTAAATAGGGCCCACTGCTGACAGCTCTGGAAGAATGGGCTCATGGGGGCCACAGGAGGTCCCTCCTCTTTTTTTTTTTTTTGGTTTGGTTTTGTTTTTTGTTTTTTTGGTAGGTTGCGGGGCTTGAACTCTGGGTTTGGGCGCTGTCCCTGCACTCTTCAGCTCAAGGTGAGCACTCCACCGCTTGAGCCACAGCGCCACTTCTGGTTTTCCGTGAGAATCTCACGGACTTTCCTGCCCGGGCTGGCTTTGAACTGTAATCCTCAGATCTCAGCCTCCTGAGTAGCTATGATTACAGGCGTGAGCCACCGGCACCGGGCTTGATCCCTCCTCTTAAGTGGACAGCTGAAGGGATCACAGTGTTGCTGAACGAGTCAGACTTTTGTTTCAGTCCCAGTCTTAAGCCCACTAATAGGGAGAGAGCCTAGTATACTTACAGGCCAGTCACGTTTTAAAGAGTCTTTATGTGTCTTGTTTGGCCAAAAGCCTAAATGAAATCTATTTTATCTCTCTGCTTAAGATTCATCTTTCAGCTAATTTGCAACACTGTCCCTGAAAGCACACTCCCCATACGTTAACAGCAGCCTTACGAGGCACATGCTGCTAGAAAGGTAAGTCAACTTCTTGCCTCCCTGATGGGCTCTACTTTAGAAAATTCAGCCATAAAAAGCTCATCTGCCAAAAGATAGGCCTGCAGCACTTCTATGTACTCCTTGGCTTTAGAATAGGATTAAATGCAGGCCATTTCCTACAGCAGTTATGACTTCCACACTACCTTTTTGGTGCTGTCACTATGGAAGCACAGATTTCTTATCCAAATATAAACTAGATTTGTATTAGCTGACTTAAACTGGTGCCGACTTTAATGATCTATGTGTGACAGAGTCAGTGGTTCCTCAACATCCAGGCTCATATTCTTTATTGACCCCACCCCTGATTTAGCAAAGCAAATGGTGCTTGACTACAAACTACATTTCCCAGCCTCCCTGCAGCCAGGCCTGGCCTTGGGTTAACGTGTAGCCAATGAGATTAAGGAAAGTATGGAGTAACATTCAGAACACCGCTTCAAAAGACAACTGGAAGATGCCATTTATCTCTTCCTTTCCTCTTTGTTTCTCCTTGTCTTTGTGCATTCCTCCTAAAGAGAATATGGAAGGGATGGGGGAAGCTCTGACCTCCAGGAGGTCACTAAAGACAGCACAAGAGGGAATAGCCTTGGGATTATAGGCCTGTACACTGTACCAGCTAGGGAATCACCCTTATAGTAACCCTGTAACCCTGTAATCTATGTAGGACTAAAATCTTGAGATCTCATACTCTCCCTGAAAACAATTCCTGAGCTTATCAAGAGAATCCTTTGTTTCATAATCCTACCAATTGACTCACCTAGATTCTGAACATGTGTATATATGCCTATGCATGTGTGCATAGTATATATTGGGGACTGAACCTAGGGCCTTAAACAGGCTTTCTATTACTAAGCTATAGCCCTAGCTATAGTTTTCTTTTCTTTTCTTTTCTTTTTTTTACCCTCAGTATAGGAACTTGAAGTCTGAGACTTGCTCTGTTGGTCAGCTGGAACTCTACCATTTGAGCCATACCTCTACTTCTAGCTCTTGGCTGGTTAATTGGAGATGAGATCTCTTGGATTTGTCTGCTCAGGCTAGTTTCGAATGATAATTCTCAGATCTCAGCCTCCTGAATAGCTAGAATTAATAGGTGTGAGCCACTGGTGCCTGACTTCAGCTTTGCTTTCTCCTCCCCCCGCCCTTCCCCAGGGCCTTGGCAGCAGCTTCCTCAGCATCAGATCGCACCCATATGAAAATACTGCCAGTAAGAAGCTAGCTTAGTATTGTTCCTGAAGTGTTGGAGTCCATGTGACCTGCCTGGCCGTTTTTTCTGTCTGCCCTGTGCCTAGCAATACCTTCTGAGATGTCTGTGCAGGCCAGGATACAGGGTCAAGAATGGCATCTGCTTGCCCACTTGTCCTGTCAAGTGGCCTCACTGCGATAGAAGCCACTTTTTGGCTACTCACTGGTTTTTCTCATAGGAAAAATTCTGTTTCTCAGGACTAGAGCCCCTCATACCTGAGAAACAGAATTTTCTCCACACTCCTTTGCATTCCTTAGACTTCACCCTTTTAGCTGTGTTCTGCTATTGGCACATCTGAAAATAGAGAAGGTTTAATTTGGGAGTCTTTGGCCTCCTTTTTCTAGACCTTTGCTTAGCATTTCCATCCATTCCCCTTGTGCTTCTTGGGTGCCCGGAAATTGCCATTATAAATAGCTTTTATTATTAGGTGCTTACATTGTGCCAGACATTGTGCTAAATAGAAGGTTTACATTGACACTCATCCCTTTTGTGAAAGAGCGAGCACTGAAGTCAGGGGACTTGCCCAAACTTGCACTGTTAGCAAGAATTGATCCTCAGAATCTAGGGCCCAAGGCTGGTGCTGGTGGCTCATGCCTATAATCCTAGCTATACTAGAGGCTGAGATCTAAGGGTCAAGGTTCAAAGCCAGCCAGGGCAGGAAAAGTCCATGGGACTCCTATCTCTAGTTAACCATAAAATGCCAGATGTGGAGCTGTGGCTCAAGTGGTAGAGGAGCTCTAGCGTTGAGCAAAAGAGCCCAGGCCCCAAGTTCAAATCCCAGTACCAGTGCGACCATGCATGCGTGCGTGTGCACACACACACACCAAGAATCTAGGGCCCATGACCTTAACCACAGTGCCTCCATCCTCTCACACCCCAATTAAGGTATGTTCACTTATCTGAGAACACATGGTCTCTCCTGCCTCCACACCCTGATCGTGC